GTGTCTTATTATCAATCTGCTCTTAGATTAATTAACTTTTCTATCTATATTAAAATTTTCTAATTAATTCTTCTGATTGAATTAATCTTAATTATCAGAGCAAGATAATATATACTATTATATTTAATGCAGGTCTTAGAGAAACCATTCTGATCAATTTTTCTCTTATATTTTTTTAAGAAAATATATTAGTCATTTGTGAGCAACATTTTCTATAGAATTTTAATTTCCTGTAGCTTTCTCAAAATATTCACTATTTCTAGATTTTTATTGACTTTATTTTTAGCAAAAATAAATTTTTGTTTTTGAGATTTATTGCATCCAAAAATCATCAACCAAGCTTAAATACTAGATTAATTTAATTTATAATTTATTTGATTTTTACTGAGATCCTGGTTTTTATTCTAGTTTTGAGTTCTGTTTATTTAAATTTTCATCTCTTTTTCTTTTGAAATATTAGGATGTTATTAAGTTTGAAATGAATCAGAAAAATTGAAAAGAGAATTCACCATTTCTAATTTCATAAAATTTTCAACTATAGGTCTTAAAATAATTACTAAAATCATAATTAAAATCTAAAATATCCCTCCTAATTTTCCTAAAATAGTTTACAATTTAACATAGGTTCTAATGTTATTTGTTAATTTATAATCCAATCTTATAAAATGAGCAATTAAAAATTGGTGATTATAAAATTCATTTATTTCTCTCCATTCACTTTATTAAATATTTGATTGATGTTGAATTTGTTCCCAAATTAATCCTTGATCTGTAATTGTTTATGATATCTTATAACGTTAAGATATTGTCTTAGAAGTGCTTATAGAGAAACTACTAAATTCAAGTGTAATGACTTCATGAAAAGGTTAATCTGGATGATCAAGTGTAGTGAGATAATCGCTTTTATAAACATTGTAATGACCTGATTGCAAAACCGATTCGATTTCTTCTTAAGGTGCACAACTTTATTATTAACTTGTATTTTGGCAAGCTGAAAATTAAATGGATATGTATCTGAATGACCAAGATGTAATTTAACCTTACAAAGTCTTAGATATATATTAATATTATATTACTAAAGAATTTTCATGAAGATATTTTCTGTTAATACATTAAATTGCTCCCATTCTAATAATCGAAAAATATTTCTTTTATATTTTAGTTGTGAAGTGAGACATATTGCATGGTTCGTATGGAATTTAAGTACAACTTATAGTATCACTAAATATTTACTTTAAATTAACAGAAATGTTTTCAGAATCTTCGGAATTTTCATCCTTCATCCTATATCTCTCGCATTAACTGATATTGAGTTAGAAATATCTATCGATACCTATCAATGGCTCTGAATATCGATCTCCAATAGATATAGCTAATGTAAAGTTATCATTTTGAAGAATTATTGGCTAGATAATATTTCAGTAACAAAAAAATAAAACTCAAAAAATTCCAATTACAATTGAGGTGATGAACCCAAGGGCTGAAGTATATTCGTTTCTATCAAGTATTGTAAAATTTGGAGTTTGTCCAAACATATCAAAGTGATATTGCATTTCTTTTTTCAGTTTATTAACACAATTTGATTTTGGCATTTTTATTCATGAAAAATAAAATTAATCTTACTCTGTTATGATTTTTTGATAAGAGAATAATCTAGAAACAAATAATCAGGGTTTTAGTTTGCCTGTTAGTAGGACAAGTTTTAGAAGTTACATAAAATGAACAAAATAACCATGTACATGATATTGTGAGATAAAGGAGTTGATTTGTTAAGAAGGAAGGGTTAAGTTGAAGCAGATGGGTTGGGTTTGGTTTGAGAAAGAAGTAATATAATAATATTATAATATATATTATATAAATTAAGTACGGTTGATGCCCATACCAATGGTTCCTAAAAGTTGAACTTTTTTTTTTTAGGCAATTAATGCGATTTAAAACATTTTCTGATGAATATAAGGGAAATAATGCGATTTTGATATTTTTATATTTTTTTATGATTTAATTTAAT